AATGATGACGAATTTTGTGGAATAGAAATATTTGTTGGATCATTTAATTCTTCTGTAATTTTTTTTAACTGATTTCTTAAATAATTTAAATTAATTTCATTAAATTCATTTTCTTTATGGATATGTTTTATTTGTTCACTTAAATTATTAAATTTCGTCCCAATATCATCAATAAATGTTTGTAAAGATTTAATGACAATTTCTCTACAATCTTGTGCTTTTTGTTGAATCTTTTCAATTGAATCTTTTTCCCACTGATCAATTTGTTTTATTAATGAATGATTTTGTGGATTTTGTTTTTGTTCATTAATTGCTTGTTTAAATTGATCATAATTATTAATAATACGATTTAATTCAACGGTTAATATTTGTTTATGTTCTGCTAAATCCACAAAACAAAATCTTTGTGAACATCCTTCACAAGGATATGTTATTTTTTCTTTCCTGCATGCAAAACATTGTGTCTTGTTGTTTGCCATTGCCATGTCTTTGAACATAAGTTTAGGGAGCAAATGAATATGTTCTTGCTTACTTTTATAAATATAAACTGCATGACTCAACGATAACAAAACGTTGCACGGTAGTAGAAGAAATGGAAAAGCATTTTGTTATGACAACAATTAACTGATTGTGAGAAAATTTTACTGATAAAACTGATGTAAAATCCAAGATGGTTGGACTAAAACTAGAATTTGATTTCTTCCTAATCTCAAATAAAAAACCAAACAATTTTTGTAATATTTTAATAGAGATTTGGATATCAGTAAAGATTAAACATAGATCTACCACTATAACTGTATCTACTAGATGAATGATATTTTAATCTCTTATCTACTCAGCTGCATTGTCATGTTCACTTTTATCATCATTATTATTACTTTCATTCTCAAACTAATTATTGTGTGATATTTTGTTTTATTCATCTTTCATATTATTTCAAAAAACAAACTTATACAAATGAAATTATTTCAATTAAATAAGAATGGCGTGTGTCTTACTTTGAATTATAGATTCGATTCAAAAAGGGAAATCTGACAGAATATTTCAAGTGAAGAGGGAAAGAAAAATAACAAAAAACACGTTTCATTTTTGATTAAATGAATTTTTAATGTTTTCTAACGAAACAATATTGAAGAATGAAAATTAAATGATAGGCGTGTGACAATTCCATATCAGCTCGCATTAGTTGGAACCGGAACTGTTCACCATTTCCTCAGTACAGTTCGTCACAGTTCACGAGCTTAAACTGTCACACTCCTGCTCTACAATAATTTATTTAAAGAATATTTTAATATTTTCAAACAAAATATACTTGCCCATGATTCAATATATTCTTGAGAAATCAATCTAAAATATTTAAAAACAGATTTTGTAATTCATTTTATCATCAAATTTAATCATTTTTATCAAATGTTTATCAACCTTAACTATTCTAATACAACGTTTACCTTAAGAAATTCTACTTTAAAATCTCAATATGAATCAATTGAGTAATAAAAACAACGCTCACATCCTCATTTATTTTAACAAATTTATCAAAAATCAATTTTTTTTTCTTGAAAGTCGAAAACAACAAACAAAATAAAATTGGAAAATGATATTCGTTAGTTTATTAAATGAGAATCTTTTCAACATTTGCTTTGTGCAACAGAATTCATTACAATTCGAGTCTTATTATCAAATTTCATCAAATTGGAAAACCTAAAATCTTCTTTCAAATAAATTTTATTTCAATTCAATTTTGAAGAAAAAAAAACAAAACGTTTTTTGTTCCTTGTTTTCTTATCAATAAATGTCTTTTTCTTCAAACTTTATTATATTTTTTATTTTATATTTATTTCTCCATTTTTTATTCAACAAAAAATTTCTTTTCTTTTTTTTCAAAACTTCAATCACAAAACTATTTCAAATTTTGTAATTCGTTCATTCGAATAATTAGCAACATAAAGATTTCCGTCATCGTCAAACGATAAACCCATGGGACTATTCAATTGATTTACTTGACCATTTCCACCAACAACAATTTCACCTTCTTCTTCTTCTTCACACCAACGTATCACTCGATGATTCCCACTATCTGCCACATAGATTTGACCCAAATCATCAACAAATATTCCTTGAGGTGAACACAATTGATTAAGAATTCTTCCTTTACCATTTCCGCCAGCCACAACTGCTCCTTCTTTTGCACCTTTTCTCCATTTCATCACACGATGATTCTTTTGATCTGATACATAAACAGTTTGATCTTCATCAACAAAAATAAAAGTAGGATAATTGAGTTGATTAAGTTGATTTCCTTGTCCATTTCCACCTGCCACTACAACTCCATCATTGTTGTATTCACCCATTTTCCATCGTCTCACTTCATTGTTCTTCCAATCGTTAACATAAAGAAATCCATATTTATCCACTGCTAAGCCCAAACAGTCAATATTGTTAATGAGAATTTGTTGCTTTTGATTTAACCATTGAACCACTCGTTTGTTCCCTTTATCAGCAATGATGATCGAATGACTTTGTTGGTTAACAATCAAATCTGTTGGATAATTTAATTGATCCATTTGATTTCCCCTGCCATTTTCACCTGCAATGACTTTCCCTTCCTTTGCGTTATGTTTCCATTCAACAATACGATGATTATAACAATCAGCGATGAAAATAT